TAAAAATATGACATATTTTGCACTGTACCTGGTGGATGGTGGTATACAAGGAACAAAATATATTTTTTAGTTTAGGTGCTTTAGAATTTTACCGCTATTTAATATTAGAGTGCAAATGTATTAATCCCATTCCCATCAACAAACACTTGAGTGTCCAGCACTGAACAGAGAAGACTCATTACATTCCTCCCAAGAAGAGGAATGGATACATGAGCAGACAGATGCGTAGTAAAGCAAATACAGTAAAATTTAATTGCAGAACCTAGGAGGTCCTGTGGTATTCACTGTAAAATTCTTTAGCTTGCTGTGCTAAAGAAAAAAAAAAAAGTCATAACAAAATGTTGGGGGAAAGTTAATGCAGAACCGAAGAATTAAGACTATACGCATCAGCAGATAGCATGGTGGTTAAAGACACTGGACTCCCAAATGGCCAACCACATTTTGAGTCCTGGACCTGGTGGCTTGAAAATCATGCCAGGTAGGACCAGCAATTGGCTTAATGGCTATGTCACTGGACTCTCATGTAGTCGACCGCGCTTTGAGTCCCGAACCCGGTGGCTTAAACTCACGCCGGGCACATGTGTGTGCGTGCCCAAGATCTCGAGAGGTGAAGGGATTGCGGCATGGCCATCTCCCCTGGGGGGTGATTTCTCACTTTCTGTCTGTCTGTCTCTCTGGCAAGCGCACCCTATAGCTGAAACATCTCCAAAAAAAAAAAGAAAGAAAAAGAAAAAGGAAATCATGCCAGGCACATGTCCATCTGTGCTTAGAATCCTGAGAGAAGAATGGAGGAGAAAGGATTGTAGCATGGTCATCCCCGGGGGGGGTGGGGGGGGAATTTCTCACTTTCCCTCTCACTGTCTCTCTATCCAGTGGTATGAGCACTCTATGGCAAAAACTTTATTTAAGGAAAAAAAAAAAAAAGGACTACAGAGCATTAATCTGAAATAAAATGGGACAGAAAAACATGCATAGCTAAGCTCTCAAGTAAAAGCACCCTGAACGATACCACCAGCTGTCATAATCTTTATGACGGGCTTCAAAAAGTTCATGGAAAATGGAATTGAAGTACAAGTTTATTTTGGTGCAAACATCTTTAAATCCATGCAATTTTTTCAATATCCATTTCCATGCACTTTTGAAGAACTCCCCTCACTGAGACTTAGACCAAGAGATGAAACCCTACCACTCACGTGCATAAGAGAACTACAAACTACCCCCCTGCTGCACTCTGTGTGTGTGGGTGAAAACGTAAATGGATACGGAGAAAAACAACGTCTGCTCCCCTCCGCCACACAAACCAGCCTTCCGTTTCCAGGTCACTCTATTGCAGTTCGGATGATGGCTTATCCCCCAAGGTTTCGTGATGTGGAATCTGAAGTTGGGAGGGGTGGTGACTGAACCATAGTGGCTGCATCATCAAGGCGGCACTCGTATGAACAGATGAACGATCTTTCAGGAGACCCAGCGCGTTCTAGCTCTAGTGAGAAGGTTCCTTCTCATGCGAGCTGGTTACTATAAAGAAGAGCTGCCCACAGCTGACTCTCTCTGCATGTGCCTGCTATCCTCGTGGTTCCATTAGCCATGCTGAATACCTTCCAACCTTCCAGCTCCCAGACTTCTGAGTCAATAAACACCTAATTTAGGAACAGCAGGTGGTGTGGTGGCTGAAGTGCTGAACACTCCCACACGGCTACACGGTTCGAGTCCTGGACCTGGTGGCTTACTTTCCCTCTCTCTGATCAAATTAAAATAAATGAATGAATAAATAAAATTAAAAAAAAAATTCTTAAAAAAAAAGTCCCTAATTTCTTTATATTGGGTTGCCAAAAAAGTCATGACACATTTTTGTATAGATAAATGCATCATGACTGTATCAAACTGTGGTTTGCTACATAATCTTCTCCTGGGTCGGTAAATACACCAGTAAGCTTAATCTTCATTACCATGACTGTTTTGTCATTTGCAAGAGTAAGTCAGTATCCTACAGACCAAAAGACCTTTAGTGCTGTTCTGAGATTTTGATTTGTATAAAAGTTGTAAGTATTTTGCTTCTAAGAAATGTACAGCCACATCCGTTCCTTCCATGCCAATGCCATTTTCGCCTCACTTACTAAAGAACAGTGGCTCACTCCGTTCAGGGCTAAAGCGAATTGTAATCCAGACCTCCTAATATTTCCTCTTTCTTTTATCCTATTCAAGGACTCTTCCCTAAACCACTTTGCCTCCTACCATGGAAATAGTTTATATTCTTAATAGTTTACTCTTACGACGGAAAAGAAGGGTACTTAACCATGAGCCACAGTAGTAAAAGGTCAGTGCTGCGATACTACTCGAACCCACACGGTCTGTTTTATGAAATTATAGTACAGAAGAACTGCACTTCCATACTGTGATTCCAGGACTCTGGGCCAATCAACTCACTGCAGGGCCAGCTCGGAGCAGTCCCAGGTTGGGACAGACGTTAGGTGGTGATAACAACCACCACGATTTAGTGAGCACCTACTGTTTGCCAGTACCACGCTAAGCACAGTACCTACGTCATGTCTAATTCTCAGAGCCATCCTAAAGGGTGAGTATTATCACCTCCATTTTACAGAGGAGACAGTATGGCTCGGGAGGGTTAAGTAACCCTCTAGCAATCACACGTTTCAGTCAGCTGCCTTGCCTCCCCACAAGCGCTACGAAGGGTCTGAAGAATTAGGTTCTATCCACTTTAAGGCTATGGTAGTAGGATCTTGGGTGAGTTACTTACCTCCCAAAGTCCTACCTTCTGAGCTATAGAATGGTAAGTTTACGATCTGTACTTCAGAGGTGCTGTGAGAACGATGTGAATTAACCCAGGGAATGCACACGGCACAATGCCTCTTACTTGCAAAAGAGCAATGAATAGCAACTGAGGCAAGAGGACAACTGACACATATTTAAACCTCCCTGGCAATTTTTATAACCTTAAAAAATCCCACTTTTTCCTCTTCAGAAACTTGATAACTAAAGAGAACTACCTCTATCTTCTAGTGATTACTTTCTCTATTACCTTGGTCCCTAGCTCTTCTCAGTTCCATTATGTTTCCATGTTTTCATGTGTCCAAACTCCGAGCAACCTCGACTACACATTTATTTTCCTAGCTTTAAAGGAAAAAAGGGATTAAAATCCTACCACCAACTTCTGACAACAAGTACAAAACAGCCCAGATTTAAACATCATAACCACTTAGCCAGGTGGCAATGTATGTCTTTCTGTCTACAGAAATTCAGTCATGTGTAAGTGACTGATATCAGCTTCTCCTTGTTATAATGAGCCATCAAAGTTATATTCCTCATCCACTATCCAAATGGGCAAGTGAACTTTTCTGCCGACTTGCCATATGGTGAAAGTGTTTTTTTTTTTTCCTCAGAATAATTGCTGTAAACCAAGTTATAAGTTAAGTTATGGGCCAGCCAGTAGCATGGTGATTAAGGTGGCTAGATCCCACATGAATGACTATATAGTTTGAGTCAGCTTGAAAATCACATCAGGTGCATGTGCATGTGTCCCAAAATCCTGAGAGGAGAATGTAGGAGAAGGGACTATGGCATGGCTATCACCCCTGGAGAGTTAATTTTTTCACTTTTCCTCTCTCTGTCTCTTTCCAGTGAGGACACGCTCCCTATAGCAAAAACTAAAACAAACAAACAAACAAAAAAAAACCCTAAGTTATAAAAGTAATAGTATATCATCCTTGCCGTGCTTCTTATGGATAGGAGTCTTCCAGAGTCATGGACTCTGCCAACACAGTATTCCAGCCATGTGTAACGATGTTTCTGTCAGGAACAGACAGCATATGTGACAGTGGTCCCATACAATTGTAACGGGCTCGAGCACACAGCCTAGCGTGTTGTAGGCTAGATCACTAGGTCTGTGCAAGTGTCCTTCATGACGCTGTGCAACGAGATCGCCTAACGACACTTTTCTCAGACTGTATCCCCATTGCTAAGCAACGCATGATGGTATTTAGCATCTGCTATGTGCCAAGCATGTATCAGGTCCTTAAGATGCACTGAGCACAAACAGACCCAGTGTGTGCTTGTAAGGAGGTGATAATTAGGTTGGTGGAAGAGACGGGAATACATTGACAACATCTCAGGATTGCTGCAACTGAGACAGCACGAGGAAGGGAGGCAGACGGTGCTACATGGGCCCAAAACGGGTGGACCTGACCTAGCTCGAAAGGATGAGTGAGTAACCAGAGGTTAAGATTAAGAGTCAGTGAAGAAAAGAGAAGTCAGCAGTGTATTCTGGACAGGGAAAGGAGGAGCCTGGCTAGGAGAAAGGCCAGTGTGGCTGCAGCACAGGGGAAGGGGCTCAGGCTGAGCTGTAGCCGGAGCGGCAGATTGAGGGCCAACACAAATCCCTGTGACCTGTGCTCAGCAGTTTCATCTTCTCCTGGAAATAATGACAACAAGTTGGGATCCGCACTCTGACTGCAATGGGGACACCAGGTTAGTGGGAAGTGAGAGAGAGCAGTCAGAAGGCTGCTGCAGTGGTCTGGAGAGAAGACCACGGCAGTTTGGGCCAGACCAGTGATTCTGAAAAGCCGGCAGGTAGAGGGTTCGGGTTGACAGGACCTGGCGTCAGTACTGTGCCAGATGCATGCATGCATGAATTTTTGTGGTTCTCATGACTGATCGGTGAGACAGAAACCCCTCCACATTTTATAGATGAATAGATCGACTATACTAAAGCATCTATCCGATGCTATAGTGGCAAATGACAAAACTAGAACATAAACCATTGGTTATTTGACTTCAAAGCCAATAACAAATTACTGTGTGAAAACAGGAAATGGTTTTTAAAAACGGGGTCTCCACAGAGATATTTCAAACTTAAAAACATCTTGATCTATCTTATCAAGGTACCGAATGATGAGTCCTGAAGACCATGGCCTTAGGTTTGCACTTAATAAGATAAGATACTCTTGAAGTTTTAGACTCATGGAAGACAAGTGGTGGAGCCATACCTATTTCGACATATCGGCTTGGCAAATCCCTCATTTCGTTGGCGTGCCGTTCCTTCACTGAGCAAATCTAGAAGATAAACACATAGGTTACTGAATGGAGAAGTCTTCACAACATTTTAGTCAACCATGACACTTTCATTAAATTAACCACATAGCAATGGAGATGGGAGCACACATCTATCCTATGACTTAAATGATAGACCTCAACCTGAATCATATATAGCGACCATTACTTAGGTTTTCCAACATTATTCTTCTATCAAGTATTATTTAAGGGCAAAGAGAACAAGGGAACTATGACATAGTTGTCAGGTGTTTCCAATGGCCCATTCTCTACAACTCTACTTAAGGTCTATCACCAACCAAATTATGGTGGGCAGGAGTACACAACCAAAGTGCCCCTGGTTAATCTGAGCAATGTCCACCTTGTGTTTCAGACGACATGTTATTAATTTATTTCACTGTTGTTAGACAATACTGTGCCAAAGTGATGTATACTCTTATCTTGGGTGTATCACTGTCAATGTACTGAATCATTTAAATCAGAGGCTGCCCACCACAGCCTGGCCCCTAGTGTCTATTTTGGTTATGGCCTGTAAGCTCAGAATAATTTTTACATTTTAAAGAGGTTGCATCAGAGAGGAGAGAAGAGGAGAGAGAAAAAACAAGGAAGGAAAAGAGGAAACAAAGGAAAACAAAAAGAAGCAGAAGAAACAGTATGTGACCCACAAAGTCTGAAATATTTACTACCAGCTATTTAAGAAAAGGTTTGTCAATCCCTATTTGAAGGTATACATAGACAGTTTGAACCGAATATTCTCTATGACTCACACACGCATATATCAGATAACATATGTGTGTGTTATCATGGTTGTTTTAGGACGATAAGACTGGTCATTTTAAATTTTCTTTGCAATATTTTCTGAAGTGAATAGATTCTATTTTGTAATAAGAAACAAGAAATAGTTACATAATCCAGCCTTCCAGGAGGAGCTGAGCCTAAAGTCAAGTACTGATTCTACGTAACTTTTCTAAGTAATTAGGATTTGTTTCCTTTTTCCACTAGATAATGTCTTTCATAGCTGCTACCCAAAGTATAGGTCTACTACAGAAAATTCTAAAATCTGAAAAACTCAGAAGGAAAAACAAACATTATCTACGATCCCAACGCAGAGCAAACGCTCCTAATGATCTTTTTTTCTGGAAGCTCTTTTTATTAATCCAACAAGTGACTACAAAAAGTGTATTTATTTACTCTTCTAGGGAGCCAGCAGTTAGCGTAATGGCTATGTCGCTGGACTCCCATGTAGTCAACCGCAGTTCGCGTCCCGGACCCGGTGGCTTAAAACTCACGCCGGGCGCGTGTGCGTGCGTGCCCAAGATCCTGAGAGGAGAATGGAGGAGAAGGGATTGCAGCGTGACCATCCCCCCTGGGGGGTGATTTCTCGCTTTCTGTCTCTATGTCTCTCTCTG